GAGATCCAAGCCATCACATGTGGTCCAAATCCCATGGTCCTCAGCATAGCCTTCATGTAGCGCCAGTCGAATCTGTCAAAAGCTTTCTCCGCATCCATTGAGAGGAGTAGGATCTTTTGCGAGGATTGTCGCTCTGCATTGTTGACATTTAGGGCGCGTATGGTGTTATCCCTCGCTTCCCTCCCTGGGATAAAACCAACTTGGTCAGGGTGTACTAGCTCCGGTAACACCCTTCCAATATGTGTTGCGATTACCTTCGTGAAGAGTTTCAAATCTGCGTTCAGGAGTGAGATCGGTCTATAGCTCACACAGTTGGCCGGATCTTTGCCTTCTTTTGGTATAACTGTGATCGTGGCTGTTAGTGTGTCTCTTGGTAGGGCTCCATCCTCCAGTAAAGAGTTAAGGCCGGAGAGTAATTTAGGTAGTAGGACATCTCCAAATTCCTTTATATATCTCACCGGTAATCCATCTGGGCCCGGGGCCTTGTTTAGCTTGGCGCCCTTTAGTGCTGACTGTAGTTCCTCTAATGTTAGTGGGGCTTCTAGTTCTTTTGCCACTTCTTGGCTTACAGTGTTCGTGACGTGTTGTTGTAGGTAAGTTGCAATCCTTGCTTCTTTGTGGCGCTCTGCGTCGGTGGAGTTCTCCGTAGGTAAGTTATAGAGCTCTTCGTAGAATCTGCGAAATGTGTTGGTTATTTTGTCTGGGAGCTGCGTGATAGTTTGATCACTAGCTTTGATTTTTGTGATTTGGCACATCCGGCGTCTCTTTTTGAGTGTTCGGGCAAGGAGGCGACAGCACTTGTTAGAATATTCGTAAAATAAACTTATAGTGTTCCTTTAACCTCTTGGTTTACTTTTCCACTAAGCTGCATTGATTTTAATTTGTTTGATTTCATTTATATTTATTACCCAATGGTACTGAGCAATTTACCTTTCCAATATATTTTGATTTACATAATTGTAAGTGGTATTAGATGAATATAGGGCAAAATAAAGAAAGATGTACATGCATATGTTTCTACCAGGCATGTTGCATAGCAAAAATATCTTTAACAATTTCAAAAACAGTGATATTAGGAGCAGGGACTACCAGTTCCATGATCCACTGTGGCACATTGATAGGCAATAACGTGATTTCCAATGTATCAATACATTTAGAGCACTCTATAAGAGAAAGAAAGAATGGACTTCATAGTCAAGAACACTTTCTGGTTTGGCGACTTAATTGTGTGCAAAGTGCATCACATTGGTCGGAACTATCTATCATTCTATCATCAGTGGTGGACTTGGATACACCAATTCACCTTGATCGATAAACTTTTCGCAACTCCAACACGTTTAAAGACTTGAGGAGAGCAGGGGCCTTAGTGGGCAGAAGAGCAGTAGCTGTACAATGGAACTAATCAACACAACATTCTCTTCCACCTTTGGGTGTTTGTCATGGTCCCCTTGGTAGAATATCTCCCTCTCCTGCCCCCTTTTCATCTATTTTCTTCTCGTTTCCTATGCTGATTATTTAAGATTTGTACATTGGTCAAGTTACGTTATTCCTATAAGTTCTTACTAATTTTATAACATGACAGGAGGCTTCAGATTTTGCTTAAGTCTTTCTTTACTTAAGCTTCACAGCAGCACTTTTTCTTAACATAGTAACAGGGTAACCAATCAGAAAAAAGATAACAAGGTATAAAACTCCCTCCCCGTGATGTCACTTCCTCTTTCTTTGCTGCTTCACACCAGTACAGGTCAGAGTGCCACTGTCTCCTACTTTCTGTGGGTTTCTGTGGTTTATTAATTTACCTTCTTATCTGTTTCTCTCATTTTTATTGATATTATCATTGTGTCTTATACCTATGGGGTTTTATCTACCTTAGGTAATCTTGCTAAATTTTCCTCTCAACTTATTTTTTCTCCATATCTATTTACTAATTCATATATTCCTACTAGCTCCTTTTAAACCGTCATTTCTTTCCAGTTCCGTTTATTTTCTGTTTATTTATTTATTTTTTCTACCTTATCTAGGCCGGATTGTGGTTGGCATACTTTGCCCCGTTTTTCCCCTGCTTTCAGGGCCGTGGAGAATGCCTCCAGCGGCTCTAAGTGGGCACAGCGGCCATCTTGGATCTTGCGCACTTCCGCGAGATACAAACGTCCATTTTGCCCTTTAGTGTGCATGCGCGAGAGCGCAGCGGCCATTTTCTTGGAGCCGTGATCTGCGCTCATTCTAGCCGCACGGTAGCCATCTTACCGCTCACCGTGGCAATTTTACTATTAAATAAACAAATAATTAATACATTTCCTAATTTAATGTTTTTAAACATACCTCATATTGGTTTAAGTTCACCCAGGAAAATCTCATCACAGAGCAGACTCCACTTCTCTACTCACCATAGGGATGTTTCACACTGTAATATCAGTTCCATGAGTGTTATGGCATATACTGACTCCCCCTGGTGGTAAATTGAAAATACTACATTGACCAAATGATACCATTGAATTCATATTACATTACTTCCATACTGTTATGTTGGGTAAAACCCCAATATCATTCAGCCAAATATTTTATCACATTAAATCTGTGAATTGATAAGGGTAAATCCCTAAATATGATTTATGATTGCTGTTAAGTTGTACAGCCCATGATTGGCCCGCTTTTCCTGTGCCACCATACCTCTACACAAGTTTGAATATTTACTCCCGGGAGTTGTTTATACTGGGTGACCCCCAATTTTAACTTGCTCGATGGAATTATAAAATATTGTGATATATGAATACGGCCTTGAAATACATTCTAAAGCTGTCATAGGTACTAACACCTGTTGCAATGGAGGCTTCAAACCAAGATCAAATCTTGCTAGCTATTATAAATGCAGCTGTTGCCGCTTCACTGGAGAAGACCCTGGCTCGGGTGCTGCCCTTAGAGCCCAAAGATCACAAAACCTCTGATCCCTCACTTTCTGCCGAAGATTCAGAAGATTCCGATTCCGCAAAAAGGAACCCCTCCAATTCCCATAAATGATATTGGAAAGGGGATGGGCCAGAACCAATCAAACGCAAGGGCAAAGAACCGGTGAAATGCCCCAAACAGGCGGACGCTAAAGAAAAACACTCTGTCCAACCTACCCTGTCGGAAGAGGAGGAGGACTCTTTCGACTTACACCCCTGGGCCATTCTAGATGAATGGCAATCTGACCACTCTTCAGAAGACAAAGGAGACTGGCATGAGACATCTTTCGGAGGAGCACCTTTTCCTCACGATGCAATGGAAGATACAGTGCCTGGATCTATTCCATCAGGGGAGGCTGAATCCTTTCTGGATATGCTTGGTCAACCACTGTTTGACCCATGACAGATTAGATATCCTCGATCTTCAGAATGGTCACTCCCAGACCATCTCTCCCAGTATATCCATTTCTGGATTAGGAGACCCATGGATCGGGATGTCCCAGGCCTAACCTACTGGACAAGGTCGCTATGACCCCGGAATTCGATACGCTGCTCTACACATATCTAGCCAGATCTGGCCATGACCCAAAAAAGGGCATTGAACGCAGCCTATGCCTCACCCAGGACAAGTTGTTGGATATCCTGGGGCCTCTGGAGAAAATTCTGTTATTGGCTGATGAAGCCCTCTCTAGTGAGGGACCTTTCGACCCATCTGTGATCAGAGAATTTGCTGGGCAATGCAAATACATCCCTCTGTACGGAGCGCAGAAAACCAGTGCTGCTGCATATGGATGCCAAACTGGGTAAGTATTGGACCCCAAAGCCAAGGGTCTGTTTTTTCGGAGAACCCTATATTAAAGAGTTATACAAACATGTAAACCTATACGCCACACTGAACAAGGTGCAGTCCTCCATTAAAAGAGTATTTCATCAGCATTTTTGGCAGGGCTGGCCGTACAAGGGGTCGTACAGTCAGCCGTTTCTGGGCCACAAGCCAACGCCAGTGACCCTCACTCCATCGTTCTTCCCCAACTATAAATCTAGGGGCTTCTACACCCAAAGGATGAATAGGGGAAGAGGAAGCAGAGCCTGTGGATGCAACAGATACCCGACAGGTGAGATTTCTTACCTTTCACCCAATCTGCGGGCAGATTGTTACATTGTGTGGACATGTGGAAGACGCTGTCTTCAGATACCTGGGTTCTAAACACAGTTCAGGGTTATTCCATAGAGTTTTATTCTCTCCCTACTCAAACAGGTTCTCCTCATTACCCGATAATGTCAAAATCTCAAAGGATTCTTCTTGATTCAGAACTACGATCCCTACTTGCAAAAGGAGCCATTCAACTCGCCCCACACGATGAAGGCTTTCTCAGTTCTATCTTCTTGGTCAAGAAGAAATCAGGGGAATTCCGCCCGGTAATAAACCTACCTTCGTAAAATACCTTCTGCCTGAGTTCAGCTCCATAGTGCTTCACCAAACTGCTTAAGCCGGTCACTGCACATCTTTGAGCCAGGGGCATTTGCTGCTTAATCTACCTCGATGATCTCTTACTACTCTGTGACGACACATCCAGACTGCGATCACAGACGAACTACACATCTACTACACAATACCTCTCAGAGGTTTAGCTCGGATCGTAGGCCTGCTTTCTGCCTCCATCCAGGCAATCTACCCGGGTTCCCTACACTATCGGGCCATGTAACGCTTGAAAACTAAATTCCTCCGAACCCACCCATCATACGACCAGAGGGTCCCGATCACCACCGAGGGAGGAACTTTACTGGTGGCTCCGCCACATGTCTGCCTGGAATGGCAAAGCAATTTTCGGCCCCACTCCAGACTTTGTGGTGGAATCAGATGCGAGCCTTTGGGGCTGGGGTGCAACGTGTCATACGACCTCCACCGGGGGACCATGGACAACCGCAGAACACTCTCTCCACATCAATTGTCTGGAGTTACTAGCAGGCTCTTTCGCAATTTGCAGTTTGGCCAATCACCTTCGGATGGACAATATCTCAACCGTCCAATATATCAACAAATTGGGCGGGGCCAGATCTTGCACTCTCTCCGAAGTGACAGAGGACATCTACAATTTTTGCTTTCAGCGCAACATCATGCTTCGGGCAGAATATCTCCCCAGGGAGACGAACATCACCACGGATTGGTTCTCTCGACATTGGAGAGATGGCAGCAACTGCCGCCTACATAGATCTGTTTTCCTCCACATCTCAAAGCTCAGGGGCCTGTTTGTTCTGGACTTGTTCACCTCCCGGACGAATTTTCAAATCCCACAGTTCTTCAGCTGGCTACCAGACCCATAATTCTCGGCAATGGATGCCTTCCTTCAGAGGTGGCCAACGACGGGGGCCTACCCCTCCCCTTCGTTTGCAATGATTCCAAGAGTCCTTCTCCAGATTCGCAGTCAACTAGTCACACTTGTACTTCTCACCCCACTCTGGCGGGGCCAAGCATGGTTTCCGGATCTTCTGGACCTCTTCTGGACCTCAACCTCCTGGAGGACCCTCAGGGGAACCCTCGTCCGATGATAATACAAGGCCACCTCCACTTGGAGATTTATCGCAGAGATCTAAGGAACTCCTCTGGGATTCCTGGGCCCCTGGTACCAAAAGATGCTACCTTTTCTCCTGGAACTCTTGGTGCAATTGGTGCCTGGAACGGAATACCTATCCCCTTACAGCTCCTAGACAGTTCATCTTGAATTTCCTCTCACATCTATTCGACCTTGGCCAATCCTACCGGTCCATCAACGTTGCCCGATTGGCCATCTCAAGCAGCCCACGTTCCGCTACACGGAGCTCCATTTGGCCAGGACCCGCTGGTTTGTAGACTTCTACAGGGCATTAAACCGGCGCGCCCTCCAGCATCGAAGTACTCTCACCTATGGGATGTTAACGTAATGATCCGTTTCCTAGAAGCTTGGCCGAGCAATGAAGATCTCTCCCTATGCCAACTCTCAGCAAAATTCCCCCTGTTACTTTGCTTAGTGTCTTTCCGATGAGTGTCTGATGTTCGAGCATTTGACCATGATGCTATCATCTTTTCCCCAGAAGGGGTCACCTTTACCCTGTCCAGATGGACTAAATCGAACACTTCTAATGTATTTTACCCTTACTTCCCTAACCACCCAAAATTGTGTGTGGTCCCAGTTCTCTCTCGTTATTTATTACTCACCTTCGTTCAGCATCCTCCAGCTAACTATTGGTCTCATATGTCCAACCACATAATCTAGTGTCAACCACGACCCTTGCCCGTTGGGTTAGATGGTTGTTTTCCCTGGGTGGAATAGAAGCCTCCTTCGGGGCCCACTCCATCAGAGGAGCGGCGGCGTCAGGAGCGTTCAACACTGGAGCTTTGCTTCGAGACATTCTCCATTCAGCAGACTGGTCCCGAGAACAGACGTTTCACAATTTCTATTTTCGTCCAGCTGTGCACGCTTCCTTAGCCCTACTCGGGAAGCGTTAAAACAGCAAAAGACGAAGCCTCCTGTCATGTTATAAAATTGTAGATTATGCTAGCCTTGGTGTACCTGTAATCTAAATTTTATTAATGACAGGAGGCGAGTATTTTCCCACCCTTCATTTTTTTGTTTCCCCCCAAGTTGTCGCCTCTGTAAATAAGTTATCTATGACAAGAGTAAATACATAATGTGTTACGGTTCTGTGGCAAGGGGTTACGCACTATGGGTGGGAGAATAGATACTATGTTCCATGCATGCTACAATATATGATTTTAAACAACGGTATGGCATAATTTTAGAAGTCCAATTCATGGATTAATCCTTGGTTTCGACTCTGCTCTCTCGTTTCAGCGTTTAATTTAATTCAGCATTTAATTTATGTAAGTATGCCACAAGGGCGCTGTTGTCTCTATTTTGCCAGTTTACACCTTTTTCCATGTTTAATTGATATGTTAATTGGCCTTCTATTTTCACCAATTTGGGGCTGTTGTTTCCCTCAGAGTATAACTATTGTAAATTTCACTGCCATTAAAATATGTATAACAAAATCTCTTTATATTTGATCATTTTATTTAATCCTGTATGTAGAATAAAGACTCCCGGGCTTGACTTAATTTTTTTTACACTATTTTAATATCTTATTTATATCAGTTTCCAAAATAATTGTAAATGAGGGCACGACCACCACATATGAGCCAAGTCCCCTCTCCCCACTTCACATCTCCAACACAAATCCAAACAGCTCAGATACATTTTAGATAATAAAAC